GCCCGAAACGTCAGCCTCTCTGCTCCTATGATGCTGCTTGGCCTGCTGTGTTCATCCAGCCCTGCACCTTGTTGTCTAAGGAAGGATGGAACCTGGAACAGGGTGTGTAGTTTCTTGTGGAGCCAGCAGTACTGGCCTTATTTGGCTCTGGCTCTTATTCTGGGAGGTTTGGCCCATTGGGAAAGTCTCCTCTCTCAGGCCCCTGGTTAAAACAACACCTTAAGTCCAAAACACTATCAAATCCTTAACACTACACTCAACTCCCAATTTTTATATGCAACTCCCTGACGTCTATAAGTATTTTGTAACTGAATGTGCTTCTAATTAACCTTCACATTGCTGTCCCTGCAGGCTAAAAGAATTTACTCGGTGTGATTAATTTTATTTTTGGATTTGATGGTGCCCTAAAATCTGGTGCATTACCGACGCCATTATCCTGACCTCTTTATTACAAAGGGCCAGTATTTGTTGCTTATCACAAATTACCCTTGAGAAGGCTTTTGGGAGCTGACTCTATTGAGCTGTTGCAATCCATCTGTTGTGAATGCACCCACGGTGCTAGTAATATGGTTCCAAGTCAGGAAGGAGTGTGTCTTGAAGGCAAACATACAGATGGTGATATTCCAATGCGCCTGCTGTCATTGACCTTCAAGGTCGTAAAGGTTATGGGTTTATAAGAAGCCTCAGTGAGTTGCTGTTAGCCTCTACACATTTGGAAGTGGCTTAATGGATATCTTCGTTAGATAAGTCTAACATTGTGTGACTTACACTGTATGACATCTCGATTAAATGGTAACAGTGGGAGGTGTAGTTTGTCTAAAAGTGAAACACTAATTTGAGAATTATTGTAACAGTAACCCTATGGTATGTCAGAGTCCTTTATGGCTCACCCATATTTCAATGGAAAAATATTCCCCCTTGTCACTCCTTCTGAGGTTTATTATCAGCCAATTCCTAAACCTAGTTAGAACTGATAAGAGGCATATGGTGAATGAAAATGCATAATTTGGTTAACAATATCTAGAATTTTCAGGATCAGAGTCAAAAGCCTGGTGCTCCTTTCACAATGGCACTATGCATGTACCTGTATCACATGGACTGTGCACCACCACCTTCTCTAGAACAACTGGGAATGGGCAACAAACATTGGCCTTGCCAGTGATGCTTGCATTCTGTATAAGAATAAAATCAATTAAGAAACATAAGCTTTAAAAATAACATCACATTTATTGAGAAATTCAACTTGCATTGAAGACAGATGCAAAATCCACAAAGCATTCAATCTGACTCTTGGCTCAGGCCAATCTGAGGACCTGATCCAAATTTGGATTTGAGGTTTCTACCAACTAGCTGTAGATATCAAGCAAGCATCCTACCCCATCTCCAATCATGATATAGTGGATGCATTTTCCTGGAATTTCTTGAGCGTCTTCTGGTGGTTCCTATGTAGTCCCAGTAAATTATCATTTCCTTCACACACCTTAATTTTACCAACGATCCTATTCCTAGGATATAATTCTGATTAGCATATGATAGCAACTTTGCAATACTGTCAGACAGCTGAGTTGCTCAGGCCTGCTTAATATCACATTAAAAGGCCTTAGGTGATTAAATATAGGTTGACCCGTCACCTCTTCCCTTGATCCCTCCACATTCACACAACAGTCTCCAACAGTTTTTCACGTACAAAATGGGGGCTCTGCATTATCTGCTCTCCTCTGGATGATTTCATGAGTAAATACAGTTGATACTTTGACTTCCAGGGGCAATTCTGTCACATGGAATCCACACAAAATGATGGGAGTTCCACTTCAATGTTCTGCTTTACTCGTTAGGGAGGAGGTAAGGGTTATTTTCATGGCTCAATATTGCAGTTGTAAGTTTTAAGCATAGTTTACATATATATGCAGATGAGGATGTTCTCAGATTTGGTTAACAATATCTAGAATTTTCAGACTAAGAGTCAAAAACCTGTAGCTCCTTTCTTAATAGCACTCTGAATGAACCTGCATTACATGCAGGACTGTGCACCACATTCTCTGCTCAGCATAGTCATTGGTGATCTCGCTCAAGACAATGATAGAAGCCTCCAGCTAGTTCAAGGCAAACTTGGAGAATATAAACCTGGGCTTTCCATTCATGATTATTCAGCAATCTACCTGAAAATGCATGTGAAACGTTCAACGGCATTGGCTAAATAAGCAAAGGACCCGAGTATAATGTTACTCCATGTCAAAAAGTCAGCTGTTACTTGCTCTTGGTATATGATGGTTCAGTATGTGGCATCTCTTATCATTACACTGCTGCACCACAACTACCACATGGTTCAGAATGATCAAGCAACTCTCCTGCTCTTACCATCTGCCAAAGGTAGGCTGGGAGGACATATAGATTGGTAATCATGATGTGGAGGTGCCGGTGTTGGACGGGGGTGGACAAAGTCAGAAATCACACGACACCAGATTGGTAATCAACATGTTTTGCTCTGTTACAACACATCACTCAAAGTCATCAGGTCCTGAGGTGGGACTTGGACCCAGAGTTTCTAACTCAGAGTTAGGGATACCACCACCCCACCACAAAATGTCCTAATTCTTGGTGTATCTATAAATTGGGTCACTTAAACAAGGCACAATGAATGACAGCTGTCGGTTCTGCGTGCTCCTGTCTTATGATTGCCTATGTAATCATATTTCAGTAAAAATGGCAGTCCTGAAATTCTTAAGCTCACACTTTGCTTTCAGAATCCAGTGAAATGAGAAGCTGCTACAGAAATGAGTTTTTCAGAAGTCCCAGTATGACTCCATTAATTAGAACAGTCACCTGCCACTCAAAGGATGATCTTGAGGGCTCAGAAAGTCCAAAGAGATGGCAAGTAAACTTTGTGTCTGCTGTCAAGGGAACAATTACAGTTTTATAAGAACTGTCCAATTTAATCTCACTTATTAGCTTTTTCCCTGTAACCATGCAAATTAGTCCTTGTTAACTCCATGCCCAATTGCCTCTTGAAACTTCTGAGAATGTAACATGGAGGGCAGATAAAGGGGAGCCACCAGGCAAAGTGGATTTGGATTTCCATAAGGATTTCCAAAAGATGCCACAACAAAGGTCACTTTCAAGATAAGAGTTCATGGTATGATGTGAAGTATTAACATGAACAGAGAACTGTCCAATGAATGGTGAACAGGGAGTTCAGATAAATAGATTATTTTCAGATTGGCAAACTGAAAAGAATGGGGTTCTGTGCTAAGGCCTCAATTATTTATAACATATATTGACACTTAGTTCATTAGGTTTATCCCCAGTATAGAGGGATTATCATATGAGCAAATACTAAACAGGTTGGGACTCACTGGAGTTTAGAAGAATGACAGGTGATCTCATTGAAACATGTAGGATTCTTAAGGGGCTTGAGAGGTTAAGTGCTGAGAGGATGTTTCCCTTTATGGGAGAGTCTAGGACCAAAGGGCATAGTCTCAGAATAAAGGGATGCCAATTTAAGAACAGGAGAGTTAGTATACAGTTCACTGCCTCTAGAGTTAAAACTTTTATGTATTCCTTTCATGATCTCATTCATATAAATATCGTGGATTTTGTTTTCTTCCATGAGGTGTAATTGGCACAATTCATATTCACACTTGTTTGATCCTTTGCAGGGACTGCTGCAGAATTGTAATCAGATGAATGCTTGCTACCTTTTCCAACCTGATAAGCAATATGATTTGTCCTACGATACTGGAGATAAGGCATTACAGTGTGGGCGACATGTCGATATTTTTAAATTGTGGCTGATGTGGAGAGCTAAGGTAGGCATTTCAATTAGTAATTTCTTGTTAATTATACATTCCTTAGATAAATAATGGAGTGGGCACGGATTGTGACAACGTATTTGTTTTGGACTTTTCATGTTCATTTTTCTGAAGCCGGTATTTTATGAATTTAGCGTGTAAAACACTAACAGGTTTGATGTGTCAGTGTATAAAGGACATCAGCCCCTTCCACCTCGCCCACTAGCAGTGTTATGCGTTGAATGCTGCACATGCCTGTCCCACAGTGAACAGATCTCTCATAATAGAGCAAGCTCAACTGGCATGGATACTTTAATCTCAATGAGTTGGGCAGGACATACTGAGAGAGCACTAAGACTGTGGGAGAGCATGATTCCCATGCCACTTGCCACAGCAATCTTCATTCACATCACTGTCACTTCTGCAGGCGAGGCAGGTAGAGGGATCTTGCATTCAGGAACAGAGGAGCCTCAGGTCTTGACCTTGTCCAACAGGTACAAGGTACTTGCTCCCTGTGTGGATGAGGAAAAGGGCTGCAGGGAGGATGAGCCAACTGACCACTGCACCGTGGTACAGGAGGCCATTCAAGAGCAGGGAGCAAAAAGACAAGTGGTAGTTGTAGGGGATTCTATAATCAGGGAATAGAAGGAATCCTTTGTAAGCAGGATCAAGAGTCCCATATGATGGGTTGCCTGCCTGGTGTCAGGATAAGGGATATCTCTGACCAGCTTAAAAGGATATTGGAGAGGGTGGGGGAGGATCCAGTTGTTGTGGTCCATGTCGGAAAAAACAACATAGGCAAGACTAGGAAGGAGGGCCTGTTCAGGGATTATCAGGAGCTAGGAACAAAATTAAAGAGCAGGTCCTCAAGGGTTATAATCTCCAGGTTACTGCCCGAGCCACGTGCTAATTGGCATAAGGACACGAGAATAAGGGAAGTAAACAAGTGGCTAAAGGAGTGGTGCAGGAAAGAGGGGTTCCTTTTCATGGGGCACTGGCATCAGTATTGGAACAGGAGGGATCTGTATCGCTGGGACAGTATCCACCTGAACCAAGCTGGGACCAATGTTCTTGCGAAAGGGAAAATAGGCTGGTCAACAGGACTTTACACTAGAAAATGGGGGGGGAAGGAAGGGTAAAACTTCCTCAGTGGGGAACAAAACAACAGGCTAACATCTGTAGGGGTAGATTCCACTGTGTGGAAAAATATGAAAAAAATGACAGGAAAGGAGAACTCTAGCGAGTTTATTAAAGTCTCCGACACAGACACAAATAGGACAGAGTGTTTGGAAAGGGTTAGGAATCAAACTTCAAGCACACTGGATAAACGAGTGACAATGAGAAGAGGGACGGTTAATACGGGACAGAAGGTGTTATATCTGAATGCACGCGGTACAAGAAAGAAGGTAAATGAGCTTGTGGCGCAGATCGAAATTGGCAGGTATGAAGTGGTGGGCATCATGGAGACGTGGCTGCAAGGGGATCAGGATTGGGAGCTGAATATCCAAGGATATACACCCTATCAAAGACAGGCAGATGGGCAGAGGGGGTGGAGTTGCCTTATTAGTAAGAAATGAAATTAAATCAATGGTAAGAAACGAAGTAGGGTCAAATGGTGTAGAATCTGTGTGGGTAGAATTGACAAACCGCAAAGGTAAAAAAACCATAGTTGGAATTATATACAGGCCTCCAAACAGTTGTCAGGAGCTGGGGCGCAAGATACACCAGGTGATAGAAAAGGTGTGTAAGAAAGGCAAAGTTACGGTGATCATGGGGGATTTCAATATGCAGGTGGACTGGGAAAATCAGGTTGGTAGTGGGTTGCAAGAAAAGGAATTTGTGGAAGGTCTACAAAATGGCTTTTTCGAGCAGCTTGTGGTGGAGCCCACTAGGGAACAGGCAACAATGGATTTAGTGTTGTGCAATGAGGCAGACTTGATAAGGGAGCTTAAGGTGAAGGAAATGTTAGGAGACAGTGGTCGAATTTACTCTGCAACTTGAGAGGGAGAAGATAGAATCAGAGGTAATGGTATTACAGCTGAATAAAGGCAACTACAGAGGCTTGAGGGAGGATGTGGGCAGAATTGACTGGAAGAGGAGCCTAGCAGGAATGACAGTAAAATAGCAATGGCAGGAGTTTTTAGGTGTAATTCAGGAAACACAGCAAAAATTCATGCCTAGGAAAAAGAAGCATGGTACAGGGACGATGAGGCAAACATGGCTGACTAGGGAAGTCAGGGATATCATAAAAGCAAAAGAGAAAGCATATAATGTGGCGAAGGGCAGTGGGAAACCAGAGGATTGGGAAGCTTACAAAGACCAGCAGAGGGCAACATAAAAAGAAATAAGGAGAGAGAACATTAAATATGAGGCTAAGCTAATCATTAATATAAAGGAGGACTGTAAGAGTTTCTTTAATTATTTAAAGGGCAAAAGAGAGGCAAAAGTGGACATTGGACCACTGGAAAGTGATGGTGGAGAGACAGTAGTGGAGAACAAGGAAATGTCTGAGGAACTGAATAACTACTTTGTGTCAGTCTTCACAGTGGAAGAAACGAGTAATATCCCAAAAATTCGAGAGAGTGAGGGGGCAGAGCTAAGTATGGTGGCTATCCCCAAGGAGAAGGTGCTAGAAAAACTGAATGGCCTGAAGGTGGATAAATCACCTGGACCAGATGGACTACACCCAAGAGTTCTAAAGGATTATAGCTGAAGAAATAGTGGAAGCGTTAGTGGTGATCTTTCAGAAATCATTAGAGTCAAGGAGGGTCCCAGAGGACTGGAAAATTGCTAACGTGACACCTCTGTTTAAAAAGGGAGTAAGGCAAAAGATGGAAAATTACAGGCTGATTAGCCTAACCTTGTGGGTTAGATTTTGGAGTCCATTGTGAAGGATGAGATTTCTGAATACTTGGAAGTGTATGGTAAAATAGGACAAAGTCAGCATGGTTTCATCAAGGGGAGGTCATGCCTGACAAATCTGCTAGAATTCTTTGAGGAAGTAACGAGCAGGTTAGATCAAAGAGTGCCAATAAATGTTATCTACCTGGACTTCAAGAAGGCTTTTGACAAGATGCTGCACAGGAGGCTGAGTAAGATAAGGGCCCATGGTGTGAGAGGCAAGGTACTAGCATGGATAGAAGATTGGCTGTCTGGCAGAAAGCAGAGAGTGGGGATAAAAGGGTCTTTCTCAGGATGGCAGCCAATGACAAGTGGTGTTCTGCAAGGGTCAGTTTTGGGACCACAACTTTTCACTGTATACGTTAATGATTTAGATGAAGGAACTGTGGGCATTCTGGCTAAGTTTGCAGATGATACAAAGATGGGTGGAGGGACAGGTAGTATTGAGGATGCGGGGAGGCTACAGAAGGATTTGGACAGTTTAGGAGAGTGGGCAAAGAAGTGGCAGATGGAGTAAAATGTGGGAAAGTGTGAGGTCATGCATTTTGCTAAGAAGAATAGAGGTATGGACTATTTTCTAAACAGGGAGAAAATTCAGAAGTCTGAAATGCAAAGAGACTTGGGAGTTCTAGTCCAGAATTTTCTCAAGGTAAACTTGCAGGTTGAGTCATTAGTTAGGAAGGCAAATGCAACTTTGGCATTTATTTTGAGAGGACTTGAATATAAAAGCAGGGATGTATTTCTGAGGTTTTATAAGGCTCTGGTCAGGCCACATTTGGAGTATTGTGCGCAGTTTTGGGCCCCATATCTCAGTAAAGATGTGCTGGTCTTGGAGCAGGTTCAGAGGAGGTTCATGAGAATGGTCCCAGGAATGAAAAGCTTAACATATGAGGAATGTTTGAGGACTCTGGATCTATACTCAATGGAGTTTATAAGGATGAGGGGAGGGTCTAATTGAAACTTACACAATATTGAATGGCCTGGACAGTTTGGATGTTGGGAAGATGTTTCCATTGATAGGAGAGACTAGGACCCGAGGGCACAGCCTTAGAGTAAAGGGAGGATCTTTTAGAATGGAGATAAGTAGAAACTTCTTCAGCCAGAGGGTGGTGAATCAAAGGAACTCATTGCCACAGAAGGCTATGAAGGCCAGGTCATTGAGTATATTTAAGATGGAGATAGATAGGTTCTTAATTGTCAAGGGGATCAAGGGTTATGGGGAGAAAGCGGGAGAATGGGGTTGAGAAACTTATCAGCCATGATTAAATGGCGGAGCAGACTCTATAGACTGAATGGCCTAATTTCTGCTTCTATGTCTTACAGTCTTATGGTCTTAAGATAGCACAGAGCATAAAACCACAGATGAAAATGTGATACTATAATTGACGATGAGACAACTTTGTGAAGATTGTGATTGTGGGTGGCTTGTGCACTGAATTCCACAATAGCATCTCAAACAGAAAATCCTTGTGAGGTTGTCAGCAGTTTCCAGGCTGGACCAAAGGGGAAGTGGGAAGGGATCCTGGGAGTTAAGTGAATCTAAGGTACCGCATCTGGTGAAATTCTGAATGGAATTACTTTGAGGAAGTGGTGAGTAAAGAGCAGTCACAGTGTAACAGAGAGTTAGCTTTAATCTCTGCCACTCACTTTCTGAATGAGACTGGTCCAGTTCTGAGAACTGCTCAAACACCCTCCCTGGCCATCTGCCTCATCCTCACTTGACTGTGAATAGTCATTGATACAAAAAGAACCATCAAAGAAAAGCAAAGTACATTTAACTTCCAAAGTTGCTTGATGATTTAAAAAAGTGTTTGCACCATGATAAAGGCAAACTGAACTTTTGTCTTTCTTATAGGGTACTATGGGATTTGAGGCACAGATTGACAAGTGTTTGGAGCTTTCAGATTACTTGTACAATAAGATAAGGAACAAAGAAGGATTCGAAATGGTGCTTGATGGAAGAGTATGTTTAAATTTATTTTTCAGTTGCTACGATGAAATGGTTAAAATCAAATGGAGGACATGCAAAATCCTATCAAACATGAAAAATAAATATTTCAAATACAGTTTGCTTCCATTCTGTTCACATAGAATCCATGTAATTGTGATGTTGTATTTTGACTGAATAGAGTAAATTTTTTTCGCCAGTTGTCAGTATTCTGAGCTGCCTTTCACCATCTAAGCTGCTTCTCATCCCTCCAAGCTACTGTCAACTTCATTGAGCAGCCCCTGAGCTAGGCAATCTGCTTGTTTCCTCTGAACTATCTCTGACTCCAAAGAGCTGTTTACAGCCTTCTGATCCTGCTGGATCACCTCCAAGAGGTGGGAGAAGAAGGTTATCATATCAATAATTGTTTTGATATAAGACAAAGCCAAGTAATTCAGCATCGGCATGACAGTATTTACGAAATTAAGAGCGACTTGCCATTCATTATTGGTCATGTGTCCTTACTGTTGGATCTAGAAGTCAGGAACAATTACAGCTCTGAAGAGAAAGATATAATTACTGTTTCTTGCTCGAACAGTTAACTGGAATACCAATTTAGAACGATAGGAGTTGTGAGCTCACTAGATGTGTAAACAGTATCTCTTGAGACAACACACCAGCATCACAGAATCATAATTTGTGCTATAAACTCTCATAAAAAAGCACTGATCAATTACAACAATAAGAGTGACAGCCAAACATAAGAAGCTGAGTTACAATCCAACTAAGAGTCACTAGAATCCAGTGCAAGGGTCAGATTCACATTAAGCATGAATTAAGATAAAAAGTCAGAGCACAACAGATCTAAACCTCTGATCCTCATCCTCTGTTTCTCAGATACAGAATAACAATCAAGGTGAAAATCAGAACAATAATCAGTAGAAATATTTTCTCCCCTTTATTATTTGCAGTGCAATGAAATGCAGTTTGGGCTTTTGCTAAGTCATACAGAGAAAACTTCCTCTCAATGCAACAGTTTATAAGAAACTGAATAACACCATCCAAAAGCCTTAACGTTTGTTTATAATTTACTGATATGTTAGGTGAAATAACGTAAGTGCTTGCTATTCACTTTGCTTAATTTAAGTCTCAGGTTCCTGAATGAACATTTTTGCTATTTCTATTGTTCAGCCACAGCACACCAATGTCTGCTTCTGGTACCTGCCTCACAGCATTCGTCACTTACCAGATAATGAAGAACGAAGGAGTTTGCTCATGAAGGTGAGTCAGAAAAATACAACATCGGGTTCCCAACTTATTGGTGAATAAGATGAGGCAATTAAGCTGAATTCCTGCTGTGTAATAATGAGGGGATGGGGCTATTTCAGTAGGTTGTTGTCTACTCCGGCATAGGCCATTCTAGCAAATTAGAACAATGAATAAAGTGGTAACAAAAGCAAAATACTGAGGATGCTGGAAACCTGAAACGTAAACAGCAGCTCATGCAATCTTTATGGAGAGAGAAACAATGTTAATATTTCAGGTTTCAAAAGAGCAAATCAGGATTAGCAAACATTAACATTTGCTTAAATTTTCCAGATTCGAGATCACCGAAAGATGTTTGTCAGGGCACTATGGAGATTCTAACATTAGTCATATGTGGGAATTGCATGGGAAGTTTAACTTCTGATGGCCAGATTACTGCTGCCCAGGAACCTACAAGAAGACTTTAGCCAGATATAAAGACTCATCTGGACACTTATTGAGGAATTGTTAGATAGTTTAATATCTTGTCTAACACCTGTTTGAGCATTATAATTGAGACTCCCTCTCAAACACCATCCACTGCCAACTCAGCAACTATGCCCCAAATCACATCTGACAGACTCAGCCTCCCCAATGACCCAAACCACGATGACCCGACGACCTCCTGACCACCCCCTGAATACCCAATGAAATCTCCCCAACCTGATTCAAATACCCTCAACCACCCATCAAACCTGTGACCTGACCCCACTGTCCCTCAGACTGATCAGGCCACCCCAACCATCTGACTCCTGCCCCACCATCAACAAGCTGCAAACCACACAGCAAACTGCCAAACTGATCAAACGCCCCCACTTGAAACTCAACTACCTACCCACCGACTCAATTATTCACCCACTCACTCATTCACTAACCCAAACTCACTCAATAAAAGATGTGGAACTTCAAAAACTTACCTAAATGCAACATCCTTTCATCTCCTGCTCTTGACTTTACCACACCAACAGATCCTACCCTGGAGATGCTGTGTTGCCCATTTCTGCTTCAGCTGGGATAGGAAGATCCTGGAAGAAATGGGCTGCATCATCAGATGGGGAAAGGCTTCATTGACAGCTGATTGGAAGAGCTTGCCAATAAGTTTCATCTTAGCTATTGCAATGCACTCCTGGCTGCCCATCTACTTTGATTTTTTTTTTAAAAATGACAAAGGGTACATTCAGGGAATGCGAACATCACTGGCTGAGCCAGCGTTTATTGCTCATCCCTAATTGCCCTTAGAAAGGTAGTGGTGAGCTGCCTTTTCTTTACTGTTGGTAGCTCATGTGGTGTACATATAACAGTAAAGCTGTTAGTAAGAGAGTTCCAGGATTTTGACCAGTGACATTGTTTGTTGATATAATTGCAAGTCAAAATGGTGTGTCGTTTGGAGTGGAACTGAAGTCGTCCAAACCTAAGGTCATCTACTGTCCATATCTTATCTTACATCATATCTTATTCTTATCACACCATTGCTTGCTGAAATACATTGGCTCCCAGTCAAAAAAAAATCTTGATTTTCAAATTCTCATCCTTGTTTTCAAATTCGTTATGGTTTCTCTCCCTTTCTCTGTCATTTTTTTCAATGCCACAACCATCTGAGATATCTCTCTAATTCTGGTCCCTTGTGCATGCCTAATTTTAAATGTTTCACTCTTGGTGGATATGTTTTCAGTAGCCTAGGCTCCAAACTCTGCAATTTCCTCCCTTCAGATCTCCACCTCTTTACCTCACTTTCCTTATTTAAGACACTCCTTAAGGCCTACGTCTTTGACCGTGCTTCAGACCATCTGACCTAATATCCCCTTAAGTGACTTGGCGTCATGCTTTGTTCTATAAAGTTATTTGAGAAGCACCTTGGAACATCGTAATAAATTGAAGGCGTTACATAAATATATCTGTTGGTACAGACAGAAACAGCTTCTGTTAGGGTGGAAGGCTAGGATTTGGGGGCTCAACCTGAAAGTAAATGCTAGACATTTCAAAAGTGAAGTTAGGAAACTCTTCTACTTACAAAGAGTAATGGAAATTTGGAACATTCTTCCAAATCAAATCTGAGATTGATCATATTTTGTTAACAACAGTTATGGGATAAAGGGGAGTTTATGGAGTTAGATCACATGACCTCATTGAATGCTAGAACATGCTGAAGCATTGAAATTGCTGCCTTCTGTTCCAGAAGCTGCCTTTTTCATGGTGCCTTCCGCACCACCAGCCTTTGAGATCTTTAAATACTAATTTCCAGTTAAGAGCCTTATTCTACAGTTCCTGGTATCAACCTTGTTCCTTATAGGCTGCCAGGCAGGAGGTGTGGAATTGTCCTTCCTTCAAGGAACTCAGTGCCCCTTCAATGTACCTGGCAGCAGGAAGGGTGGGAACAATTTCGCCACCTCCCCCTCATCCTCTTCATGACCACCATCCCACAACCTGTCCTGCTGCAATTACTAACCTGTAGCAAGGTATCCAGCAATGATTCTAAACCTCACAAGTGTCATACCAGCAGGAGCCAAAACCTTCTCAGTAGTAAAGACATTCAATAGAGCTGTCAACCTCAGACTGACAGTTTCTGATTGACAGGGCTTCCTCCTCCACAGCCCTTGATCGCAGGCGAAGTGTCAGCTTGAGTACATGTGAAGTAATGGATCGTTCTGAAAGAGGTAGCGTGTGGCTCTTGCTAGTGCTCCACCCAACACTCTAAACTCCCAGTGCCTCAATAATTTTCTGGTCTATAATTGTGAGATACAAATGAGGCATATTAATTCCTGTACGTTATACAGATTTGTCTTAGTTGCCGGTCTATGTGTTTCTTAAGCAAGGCAATACCTGTATCCAAAGCGGTTACAGGTATATCCAACTAACTATGCAGTTCTTTTGTTACTATGCACTCACAGTGACCTCATATATTTCCTTTTGACTTGTATGATAACTTTACTTCACTCTCTTCAGAGTGAAAGAAATATGATTTGAGCGTGCTGCGATGAGTTTGGATATTGCCAGTATCATGTGAAATAGAGCTGTACTTCTGCATTATGGCAAAAATATTTCCAAGATATGTTTGACATACTAGATGGCAGACTGATACTGAAAATGATACAAATTTGAAATGTTGAGGCTGTGGAAAATCTAACTGGACATTCAATCCCAAGAAAAATATAATGTTTGAATTAATCATATTTGCATGGACTGACAACAAAATGATAAACCTGCAGATTTTTAGACATGCATGAAGCATATGTTAAGCAGCCAAATCATGTTTAATTGATGCAGGTCAAGAAATCAAAACAAAAATTGTTGTTGTATGGTTGCTCTTCAGGAAAGTTGTCTTTAAAGTTCTAAGAAGATGAGCAGTTAGAATCGGTGAATTCCAAACATGAAAAGACACAGCAGAATTTTAACTATCAAAGGTGAAAGGGAGAAGGAGAAGTTCAGCTTTGGGTGAAGGCGAATATAGTTCTGAAAACTGGCACAGGGTTAGAAACCTGACCTGATCCTACCCACTTCTGGGTTTTAACTCAGGAGCTTGCAAGACAGCAGGAAATACCAATGGTGCTGATGAATAAATAATTTCAATATTTAAATCTCCATTTAACGCCAGCTTTAACCTGGATTTCTGGCTTCAAAGGCCAGCAGATGGTTTGCCTGAGCTTTGTTGAATGCATGAATGGGCGGCACAGTGGCTATGGGTGGCATGGTAGCTCAGTGGTTAGCACTGCTGCCTCACAGCGCCAGGAACCTGGGTTCAATTCCACCCTTGGGTGACTGTCTGTGTGGAGTTTGCATATTCTCCCCATGTCTGCATGAGTTTGCTCCGGTTTCCTCCCACAGTCCAAAGATGTGCAGGGTAGGTGGATTGGCCATGCTAAATTGCCTGTAGTGTCCAGGTGAGTTAGACATGGGGAAATGGAGGGGCAGGGGAATGAGTTGGGGTGGGATGCTTTTTGGAGGGGAAGTGTGGACTTGTTGGGCCGTATGGCCTGTTTCCACACTGTAGGGATTCTATGAATGTCAATCAGATGAGAACAGGGAGAAATGCTCATTTAGTGAAACTGACAGTCTGGGAAACCTTGAACCATATGAAACTGAATAGTTGCAGCCTTGTCTAGCTGAGAGGCTGGTGCTCACAGCAATTCTCTTGAGTAAGAGGAACATACTGTGGATCCTGCATAGCTCAAGCAGAAACAGACAATGCTGAAGAAACTCAGCATGTCTGCCAACATTTGCAGGGAGGGAAACAGAGTTAATGTTTCAAATCCCATGACTATTGTTCACTTCTTCAGCACTGTTTTAATTCTTCTGAGAGTCTGTTTTCTAGTTTGATTTCCAACTTCTTGGAAGTCAATTCAGCTGTCTTGGTTTCCCTACCATCCTTAACCACAGCATGGGAACAGTTTCTAGAACTCTACCTTGTACTTCTGATGAGAAATCAGTGAACCAGCAACACCAAAATCATCAGCAGTTGGAATTGCAATAGCAACATTAGCAGCAGTACCACCTGTCTACTCCTCTGCCACATCCTACACCACAGGACAAAGGGAATGGGCGCAGATTATCAGATTGAAGGGGGTGAGGCTCCCAACACAGTTTTAACTCCCTTAACATGAGTACCAGTGCCTCGAGGGGCTCAGGCTTTCATGGTAGAATGTTGCTGACATCTACAGCCAAGATGTCTTTTCCAGTGCCAATGATTGACAAAGTGGCAATCGCAGGAACCATAATCCATATTGCCTTCTCCTCCTTGCTGTCCTGCACTCTCCTCTACTGCAAGGAGAGAAAAACAGGCAATAAACTGCATGGAGAGGAGAGGACTTCAGTTATGGAGAGTCAACGAGAGTGCACAAAGACGATGGTGAAGGTCAGCACTGACTGTTCAAATGGGGATTCGAGGAACTATCTGGTGAGAGAGGAATGAATGGAGCTGTATGGTATTTTGATCTAAGGAATGTCATGTGTGCGGATGCCGGAGAAGTTTGAGTATGGAG